CTAAATGACACAAAGACATGAATAAAGGATGCTCAGAACTGAAACATAATAATATGTAAGAACCTTGATAATGAACGAAGAACACTTATCATAAATGAGTAATTATGGTTTGAAATGATAGTAACCTAAGTTTTAGACCCAAATGATAAGACGAGCAGTCAAACAAATACCAGAAATAATCGAATTTGAAATCAATCAGATATTAGAAAAAATCGAACTTTATCATCATCATCAACATCCTATAGGTAAGTGGCCACTGCTGACCAAAGACCTCTTCTCGCACGGAGATGGTTTTGAGCATTAATCACCACGCTTGCTCAATGCGGGTTGGTGATTTCAATTACAATCAGAATCAATTTATTTATTTACAATTTATTCCGATCAATTGACATTGGTATTGTGAAATTTGTATCTGGAGTCGCAACACTAGCGCCCATTGCATCTGTATTGCGTGGATATTGAATGAACCAAATGGTATTGAGTTCGGCTTCATATTCCGCACTCTGAATGCTATTTGAACAGCTACGATAGGGGTTGTATAGTTTTGACATTGAATAATTATTGAGATTTTATTGGATTGAAATTGCATTGACATTGAGATTGGTTTTAAGACTATGCTTAGTCTTAAAACCAATCTGCTGGTTTCTTCACGATGTTTTCCTTTACCGTTTGTCTAGTCTAGATAATCTTTACTAATTTAGAAAATGAAAATGAAAATTACATAATAAAAATGACTCGTATTTAGAATTCGAATTTGCAATTACTAATTTTTCATCATTACTTACGTAGGTATGAACTGCGCATGTAATTACATTGTCCTTTTGACCTAACACAACAAAACCTACGTAAATACATCATCATACATGAAAACATTAATCAGAGTATAGCATGCCTTAGAGACATTATAAATAGCTCTGTAATATGTACTTACTAATTATATATCACACACATTAGATACGTCATTATTAAAAACACAATGCTTATAACAATTTTGACCTACTGACATGTATTTTATCACGTCAAGAGATGTCACTGAGCAACTACGTTTATGATTATAAATATACTTACTATTACAAATCACTACATAACATTACAAGTGCTAATTGGTCATATAAACATTAAAGAGAGAAAAGAGATAACATAATATCATCATGCCTTTTATCCCCGAAGAGGTAGACAGAGGTGCACATTACGGTAGTCAATAGCAACCAAAGCTTAACTAATGTTTATGATATAATGAGACAACATGATATTACCTGTTCAGACCTCTCAGTACGTGATCTTTATATCGTTAATTCATAGATATCAAACATGTATCAATAGATAGATAAATATCTATTGCCTAAACATTATTTATAACTAATAGTCTACGTTTTCATTTCTTAACAATTGTTAATTCCTTCTCTGCTGAATATAAATAAACCATTTTATTTAGGGGTGAAAACGATATAAATTTTACGGTGTATATTGTCGAAATAAGATTTCTATTCTTCGATTCTCAGAAGCAGTCTTTATTAGAACACACTAAAACAATCATATACTCAAGTAGCATAAAAGTTGTTAAAGAAGATCATATTACTGAAACATACTTTCCTAAACTCATACTGTACTTCAGTAAGAACAGAACTCGGAACTAACCAGACGGTCATTGACCCGTAGTACTTTGACAGATGAGTTCAAATATGATAAAATGTAATTGTTATCACTAAGGTTAAAGTTCGGGCTGAGATGAAAATCAAAACTTGTTTATTTTGCAGAGAAACAATAACTCTTTTTTAATGAAGTGGAAGGTCAAAGCTAGCCAGGGGTGCTTTGAACGTGATATTCTTATTAGTCATCTATTATATTCAAGACATCAAAGACTGATCATTTTATATGTGTACCGATTTTTGCTTAAATCTTATTTTACCATTAAACTTTAGTAGACAATATGTGTGGGAGAGCCATACTTCGGCAAAATGGGCCGGCTCGATCGGAGTGATACCACGGCCTCACAGAAAACCGACGTGAAACAACGCTTGCGTTGTGTTTCGTTATGTGAGTGAGGTTACCGGAGGCCCTATCCCCCCCTCACTCCCCAATCTTCCCAATACCTGAATACCCAAACATTCCTCAAATTCCTAATCCCCAAAAGACCGATTACGCAATTGTAACCGCTCTGGAGTTCCAGGTGTCTATGGGCGACGCCGATTGCTTATCATCAGGTGATCTGTCGTTTAATATTCTGATTTATATTCAATAAAAAGACAGGTAAACCAATTTTCCGCCAGATATTGTTATTCGAACGAATTCGAATCGAACTTCTTTTCGTTTCAAAATCCTTTAGCGGATTGACCATTTCACTATTAATTAAAGTAAACGCTTTGACTTTGACTTTGAATCATATTACTAACAATATTTCATATACATTATTTCATATATTTTTTTAAATTACTCTCAAATAACTAAGTCACAAAAAACATGCAAACAATCAATTACTGTGTACGTAAAGTCAGCTTGTACGTAACTACGTAACACAATAATATTATTGTGGACTACGCATCATTGTAATTACGACTTAATAACATGGCTCGATGCAGGGCTACGCAACAATGACGTATTCCGTAATTATTAGATACACTAACACGCAAAAACATGTTTACTAATAAGAAAGCTAAAAGATATTGCTCTATACTGTAGGGACGCCGCGGAGAACCTAACGGGTTACCGGGGCTCCGGCTCGATGTGCAGGAGAAGGAACGGGGTGGTTTTTAGTAAGTAAGAATCTAACACTCCATCCGGCCTCATCCAGACGGGAGCAGGCATTCGTTGATTTTCCACCCTTAAAAAAAATACTGTAGGGACGCTTTTATCAACATCATTTCATATCATCATCATCATTTCATTATATGGGCAAAGACCTCCCTGCACTCCTTCCCCTCCTCTCTATGTAAAGCTTTTTGCAACCAATCCTTGCCATAGATGTCCAGATCGTCCCACCATCTCCTTTTGGGCCTGCCGCTACGTCTATTGACGTTGAGCGGGTTCCACTTAGCCGTAAATTTTGCCCATCGCTCGTCTGACATGCAGACCAGCAGCTGTAGCCAAATGCCATTTAACGCTTGTCTACATGTAGAATAGAAAACCAAATTATACTGGAATTGACGTAAATTTTGACTCTTGTCAGTGTCATCCCCATACATTTCGATTTCTACTCTCTTTGTAGACCAGCGCTAAAGTGGCGTTTGGCTAAAAGCCATGACCTGCATGTCAGACGTACCTATGTCAGTTTCATAAATAACACCATGTTTTACTTTCTTTCAAATATTACAATTATATATAGCTCTCTGGAAATGTAATATCTAACTGATTTTAAAATAAAATAGTTCCAACTAAAGTTTTCACTTTTCAACTTTAATTAAAATGCATAATTACAGAAACTATTATTAATCCGCAAAAGTATATCTTCAATGCAAAGACTTTTTACTACAAATTAGTTTACAAAGTTTTTATGAAAAGTCAAAAAATCTTAACTAACATTGTAATTTAAAAAGAAAATGGATTTTTTGATTTCAAAGTAGTATTAAAAATATGTTGTACTAGATTCTGCCCTCGGCTGTGAAATTCAGTGCCAGTGCCAGTGAAATCGGTCCAGTCATTCACGCGTGATGCCGTGACAACGGGAGTCGAGGTTCATTTTTATATATATTTTATACAAGTATCGGGCGAAGTTACTTAGACGTATGTCCCTACCTAAAAGTTAAAGACTAAAGTCAAAGTCGCATTTATTTTTTTAAAAACGTTGCTCACCCTATAATTTTCGCCTGTGTCGTGACTGCACTTACAAATACACAAGTTCACATACAAATCACACCCAGAACCAAAACAACAATTTGTTCCGTGCTGGAATCGAACCCGCAACACGCTGCACGGCAGCCGGTTGCCCAGCCATCGCATCGCGAAGCGCTGTACTTTCTACGTGTGAAATAATACACAATACATAATAAGTTATTATGTGTATGATATATGTGTTTGTGTGACATTAACAACAATAAAACCTACGTAATAAGGTCTGAAACCCGATGACCTGTAACATATTCATAATTTTGTTTTTCTTTATAAGTACTTATTGACGTCAATTTTATTATTCAGTTCTAAGAAATTATTAGTTGAAAAAAAAATGGTGTTGCAGTTTTTCTTAAGGAAAATGGTGCAAGTTCGAAGTTCAGACTGGATATAGATGTGGATTCGTTTCATAAATGAAATCAAAAGAATAATTTTTATTCATCATTTTTGTTAATGCCTTCAGATAGCTTTTTTATTATTATTACTTTTTTTAAGGTGCTTTATTATTATTACTTTTTTTAAGGTGGTTTATTATTATTAATTTTAGATCATAATTATTTATATTTCAAGATGTATATATTTTCATGTAGTAATAGTTATTATTAATTTTATTAAAAGTGGTTTAAGGTTTATAAATAAAATTTAACCAAAAAAGGGTTTCCATATTTATAAAACTACAAAAATCTATCTATACAAAAACTCCAGTCTTTGCTCAGCACTGTTGTAATATTCTTTTTTAATATTCTAATTTGATGACATATTAAAAGGTCTGCTTTTTAATGAGTATGATTTAAATAACTAAAAGTCATAATAAATGGAACAAAAACTTTATTCGAATAAATCTAATATAAACCAAATCTTAATATTTAACAGTAGGTAGGTACCTACCTATCATAAAATTTATCTTTCTCCAAACACAATAAATTACATCAGTAATACTATTTTTGAGTTATTAAAATTTAATTTAAAATACATAAACTAATAATACATCACTTAAAGATACAATCACAAACATCTACTTAAAAATCATATTATAAATATTTGCACGCACATTATAAGTCAAAATTTAAAAATAAGTCAAAATATATGGCAATATGCTCACCCCCTATTACATGGGACTCACAACATAAATACTGAAAAGTGGGTGTTATATTGTACAGTGGCACTAAGTGCCGTAATGTGCACCTCTGCCTACCCCTTCGGGGATAAAAAGGCGTGATGTTATATTATGTCAAATTTTTGATGATGGATGCCTTGTCCAATAGCGGCGCCGACTATGCCATCGTATGACAACTGACAAGTATATTTATAGGCCGCCTTATCCCATAAAAATGCTGCTATATCGCAAGAACCCTAAAAATATATATTATTTTCATCTAGTTAAGTACACCTTTGGCGTTATCCAGCCAGTGAGGCCACGATTCCACCTGCTTCCTTAGCATGTCTCCAGGACTGTCAGTCATAGAGAGCTGACTGTGAGCCACCAGGTGATAATTCTTAGCCAAATAGTTGTTCGTAACTCCACATTCCAGGAGACTGTTGAAGGCTTTCAGAGCCTGTGGTGATGGTAATTTTGCTGTGAATAAAAAAATATGTATTATTAGTATATTTATATTACAACTTTCGTAAGACATACTAAATTAATTATTATGTTTTCGGTGTAAAGACGATACATGACGACAGCTCGGAATGTTACTCATTAATATGAGCCTTCAGCATAACTTGAAATCAGTTGAGTTCAAAGAATTACGTGAGTAAGCCGAAAACATAAAAATAATAATGTTGTTGTTTGTTTAAAATTTATGAAAACTTTACTCTATCAAAGATCTGCATTAAGATTTCGAATTTTATTTGATCTTTTAGAAACTTTAACCAAATTTTATACCATCTAATAAAAGATTGAACAAAACTTTTAATCAGTTTTTAATGATGGGTTTTCAAACGTTTATAGTAGGAACTCAATTTTTATACACGATGTTAGTTGTATACTAATAGCCTGTTGTATCTTTCTTACAAGCTCGGTACATTAATATTTCATGTACTCTTATAAAACCCTTATCAGAAATTCGAATCAATTTTCTCTTATCTTCGCTCGACCATGTTTATTAAAATCATATTCTATCAGGGTCTCCTTGCACAATATGTGACGCTCCAGGGCCGTATCCAGGTCGGCCTTATTCACATATTTACTGACGCTCCAACACCAACGTGATTCCAAGGACTTCATGTATAATTCACGCACAGATTCACGGCCCTGATCTGACCCTGACACGGTAATAATCGGTGTGGTTCTCCGGGAGGGTGTGTGAAAAACCTCTACGAAATTATGAAATTTTTGCTCACAAATTATGTACATTTAGTTTGCATATTAGCTATACAATTGGGATTACCTAACACTGTGATTTAGTTTAGTATTTAGGTACCGTGAAATTAGTCTATTGTTCCAAATACAAAAAAAGGACTTACAAAAACAAATTAAAATTAACTTTTATATTTCAATAAGGCGATCACCATGTTTATACCGATATACTTATGTATATCGGTATAAACATGTGAATGTGTGTATAAACATATAATTATAACTCCGATAACCTAAAAATCCTGATACTTTTTCGCCATTTCTAAAATTTCATATTACTCAACAATCATTTGCAATAAATGTCAATAAACCAGGGTGGATAATATTAATGAAATAAAATAGAACTTACTTCTAAAATCGCCAATGAAGGAGATACCCACAGATCTTCGGTTATAGCCCAAAGTATGAGCCCCAACGTGATGCCAGCCAGCTCCTTCGTAAACTCTTCCATTTCCACCAATTAGGAACCTGGGAATCCATCAAAACTCATTGAACTCAAAGAAAAAAGTCTTAAGGGAAATCAAGAGAATGGGAACTAATTTGGCCAATTAGCAATCTGTGGTAAGTACAAATAAGTTGAGGAAACTACTTAGAAAGGTTTCTGACCCTTGTATTATTAGTCGGCTTAAGTGATTGACTGCAAAGGCTTCTTCGAATTTGGCGAAGTTATTTTATTTTGTGCAATATCATTATTGATTTAGCGATTATTACAACTACACAGTTTGTTATAGGAAGGCAGGAAAAAACCACATTTTGGCTGTATATTGTAAAGGTCATACCGTGTGTAAGTCAACATGAAATATCAAACACGGATCCTATGTGACTTTCAAGATCTAAAACCGTAAATCTTTGACCTTCAGTTATACTATTGTCATTTATTAGACACGTTTAGTCAATACTTCAATCTATGAGAAGAATTTAAACCCTATCACAAAACAAATACGTACGATTGTCCTATATCAGTAAATCCACGTTTGTTAATGTGGTAGTTCCTGATTCCGTTAGCTGCTTTCTCGCACTCTTCATCATTATTACACTCCGGTACCACAGTGTGTTGGATGATCACAATTTTCACTGGATTGGGAAGAGGTTCCTCTCTTTTCAGCGGTGAATCTCCCCACTGAGTTATCGGGATCACATCACAGTCTCCATCTAAAATATATACATATTTCTTTACTGTTTTTTGTTTAAATGTTCTTAAGCAAGAGAAGCAGGCAGATTCTAACCGCGATCAGCATTGAAAGAATATACCGGCTGCAAATGGAAAAAAATCCTAACAAGAATTATTCTGCGTTTGACTGATTACTTATTTATAAAAAGAAAAGGGTTTCACACTTCTTCAATGGACAGAATCCATCAAAGGGATCTGTAACTAATGATTCCCCAAAACTTTGAGAGCAAACAATCAATGTAATTAATTACTCGAAAACTTACCTTTTGCCTCAGCCATTATCTTCACAATTAAGGCTAAAAACAGAAGAATCTTCATTTCAATACAAACAAAAAAGGACCTAACTCCAAGTAAGTCTAAGGACTAAATTCTGACCTTACTTTCAAACCAAATCCTGAGATGTTAATGCACAATTTATTGCATTCATACTCTTTATATATTAGCTGAAACATCATCAGGGTAAAGAACCTTTATCTTTAGGAAAATACAGACTTCTCTATACAAATTCCGTTATTCCCTTTTACTGGATTTCCTCACATTGTCGATGATAAGAGACGTTGTATTGGTAACAAATAAATAGAAATGTAACATTATTTTTTATCTTATTTAACCACGAGTAGTGGACTTATGAGTAATGTGAAAATAAACCACATCATAATGTACCAATTGGTTGAGTTATGAAACGTTTTACAACACAGTTGACAGCTCATAAGTGACGCTCTGGAGTTGCTGACGTCTGTAGACCACCACAACTGGTTTACGTCAGGAGACCGTCACCTAACTAGAAGAAATTAGTGTAACAATAATGAAAGGATTTAATCTTCTATTAGATTGCAATTTGTGGGTTTACCACGTGTAAGATCCAAAAAGAATTACACCTTCCGAGAACCAAAAACATAAGACTGTTAGAAATGCCTTCAAAGAAAAAACAAAAAAAAAAACAAACGATAAATAAAAAAAAAAACAACAAACCAAAAACCCTTATAACAAACCTTTCCACAAATATCTAGATAGGTACGTGTTTATATATTAACCACATTCCTGTTTTATTTTTAACACAAATGTTATATTAAATTATATAAACAAACGTAAGTCAAACGTAAGCACAGATAAGAAATGATGCAATGAATGAGTTAGTAATCTTGAGGAAGTAATATCATTTATTGGACGAGGGGAGTTACAATAACCCTTCTCTCGTTTATTGCAAATATTACGTGCAAATTGATGTAAGAAAATATGCATAAACAAACAAACAGTATGAAGTACGTTTAAAAAAACCGCAACCCCCTCTTGTTTTGAAGTCAGTTAATTAATGTACTAAAACCATGTGCTATGTACATATAACAAACACTATACGCAGCCGCGGAGGACTTGACGGGTTGCCGGGGCTTCGGCTTGAAGTGCAATTGTAGGAACGGGGTGTTTTTTAGTCAGTAAGAGTCTAACACTCCATCTAGCCTCTCCCGGGCAAGAGAAGTCATTGGATGATTTTCTCTCCTCAAAAAAGTGTAACAAAAACTATTCTGAAAAGTGCATCGATATCAGTTCAGCCAATCGCGAGAAACAAACATACATACATACATACATATATACAAGTTAAACTTACTATTTTTAAGTCAGTTAAAAATTTAAAAATTGGTCCATGAAATAAATCTCTGTTTCGATTACACATAGATTAAAAACTTTGTTAAAACCTCTGTTGACATTTTTTATTGTACATAACATGGCAAAACAGGCATAACATCATGTCTTTTACCCCCGAAGGAGTAGGCAGAGGTGCACATTAAGGCACTTAATACCACTGTACAATGTAATACTTTTTTTTTTTTTT